CTGTTCCTTCTAATTATGAATTTGCAGATAAAAGAGCTCTCAGCAACCTTCACAATTAGTAAATTGTTCTGTTGAAAGGTACCCTGTTGATGATTAAATAATTCATTTTGAAATTCACATGGAAATGTTGGTTAATTTATGGCTCTGTAAATGAGTAACTCTGGCACACTGTCTGAATCATCTGGATTAATCTCAAAAGCAAATTCAAAAATCTCTCCTATTAAATATTTAGTAAACATACATAGCTGCAACCAGGAATACTGAAATCCTGGAATTTGCATAGTATAGTGTCTTACCAAAACTTCATGTATTAATGAAAAGTTATGAATCCATATTAGGCTATTAATTATCATAGTGAAATGAATGCTCAGATAAATTTATATAACTATGATAAAATGCTACTTTAACTTTAATTTTGTTTATTTGTAAACATATGCATATCTACTAAATACGTATACATTTTGTCAGAAATTTTCAACATTGCTACGAATTGTTATAGGATTTTCTTCTTATTGTTATTTCAATTTTGGGAGCCTATCCAATAATCAAGCACATTTAGATTCATTAGGCATATCTATGTATGGGTTCATCACAATCTTTTGGGTATGTATGTATTTTTTTTTGTTTAAATCAAGGCCATTTTTTAGATTAAACACTAAAGCTTTTTGTATAAAAAAATTTGACCTTTGTTCCTGACCCTTGGGATATGATTTCTAAGCCTTGAAATTTTCTGAGAGATAGGAATATTTTGTTATTCACAATAGGCCACACCTAAGTGAAGCTGAGGTAAAGAGATCTCAGGAGAGCGGCCAGTCACACCTGAAAGATCAATAATGTAATTAAAGAGTAGCAGCATTGAGACATAGAATATCTGTCTGACCACCAGGGAGGGAAAGAGTGAATTCAACTACATAGTCAATAACTCAATCAGTTGTGCCTATGAATGAAACCTCAATAAAATAGTGGTTACCAAAGTTCAGATGAGCTTCTACTTGGAGATATACATCAGTGTGATAGGAAGGAGAGGCCTCCTGACTCCATTAGGAGTGAATATGGAAGCTCACATTTTCTTTGGGGTGGTTCTAATTTGTATCTTTTTACTATCATAAAATGACAATGTAAAAGTACAGTGTTTTCTGAGTTTTATGAGTCATTCCAATGAATTATTGAACATGAGGCAGTAATGGGAATGTGCAAATTTGTAGCCAGCCCAGAGGTAAGGTTTTTCTGGGGATCCCTGAACTCATAGCTGGTATCTAAAGTAAGAGAAATCTTGTAAAAATTTGGGTTGGCCTAATTACATGTAGTTAGTACTAGAATTGCATTGAGCTTCCAGGCATGTACACACACACACAGACACACACACACACACACACACACACACATATATATATAAATAATCTATATATATCTGTATTTATGGTTTACTTATTCAAAGAAAATAACAAAAATAATTACACAGATCAAGGTATTTATTTACTTTCTCCCCAAATTTAACATTTGCAATTTTAACTAATACGGAACAAAAATCAAAGTCAGGATCTAAAAAATTCACTTTAACAATAAGGATTTGTCTCAAATGTAGTTGGCAGAGTGTTCAGATTATTAAGATAGAGTAAAGGGAAATAAATTAAATTTGAAGCTTGTTAGAATTATTTATTTTTTATGTGACCCAATGCAGAGCACTGTTCTTTCAATCAATGAAAATCTAATATTGGCACAGAACTATTTCCAAAGGATGATGCTTAAACACTAGTGTGTGGGATTCTCATGATAATTAAATGTAACTTTAACATAAAGGCATTGTGGAATAATTTCAAAATCTGCTGCATTCAGATAGGTGAACAGATTTCTTTATTTTAGGCTTCCTTATTTATTTATTTTTGTAATATAATCTGTGAACCTGAAGAATGACTCAGGTACGGCATTCTCGTAATTATTGACATTTTCCTACAGCATCTTGCTGGGCCAGTGAGAAATAAATCATCCAGATAGGTTTAATTGCAATGCTTTAAAATTGAATTCATATGTAAAACCACACAAAGTTTTAAGATTTTTTTAAAAGTACATTGTGGTTTTTTTTGGTACTGGGAATCAAACTCAGGGCCTCATGCCTGACATGAGGCCTACCAGGTGCTGTGCTGCTGAGCTACATTTCTAGCCATTGTCTTTTATGTTCATTTTAAGATATAGAAGAAAATGTAAAACTAACCAATCAACCAAAGCAAAACATAACAAAACAACAAATGAACAACATAAACAAAACTCAAACGCTTAAGTGTTTTTGTATATTACTGTATACCTTAAAGATTTTAAAGTCAAACTTATGGGTAAGCTAGCAAGAAATTAATTTTAATAACAGGAGAAGGAAGTGTTATGTGGATACACTTCTTGAGTTTTAAAAAAATGTTTAAATGACCAAAGGAGAGTCAGTTGTTTTTTTTAAAAATCAGAGTAACCAAAATTTCCTATAAGGGATATATTGGCAATTATGCTGAAATAAGATAAGTATTGAGAGAAAGTACAACTAGAGGTTTTTCTTTGAAGAATGATATTTAAAGTGCACACAAACTTCTTAGCATAATTTCACGTTTTTTTTTAAACCATAGATATAGCTTGTATCTAATATGCAAGGCCTTTTTCACATATTTAAAAATATCTTTACTCTTAAGCTTTGTTTACTGCTTGATCATTTTAAGGTCACTTTGAAGAAGGAAAAGATATTTTAGGAATAAAAATAACTCAGCTAATGCAATACAGAACTTTAAAACTCTCGTGCAGGGTTTTACAAACACACTAGGAATCTGCACTTGGATTCACATGGACCTTTCTATATCTTTCTAAATTGTGAGACTTTGTAACACAACATAAGGAACAAACCACTCTATGGTTTTATATAAGAAAAGAAAACTTCCACAGATATCAGCAAGATTATCACTTCATAATTATTTTACTGAAACTAGTTTTATCCCATCTTTATGACATGGGGCAATGCATGCTCAGAGGCTAATAGAAAGGATGAGGAGTAAAATAGTAAAAACAAAAAACCTGTGAAGACAAAATACAAATTTATTTTAAATTGTTTATTATTGCAATAATGAATTGTTCTTGGCAGCTGAGTTTATTTTAAGCAATGCAATTACTTTCATCCAAATAATCTGAAAAGGAAGCTAAATAAGTGCACTGGGCATCCTGGAGACTGTTTCACATCTAGCCTGAGGGGCTCCATGGAGCCCAGTTTGAAAACCACACTATTAAGTAGCTAGATGAGTTACGGTGTCAGGAACATGAGCACACAGAACTAAATGATCATGGCAGATGCCTTCACTTCACACCTGATGTGAGCGGTAGCTGCAGGAAAATTTCCAAGTTTCTTCCCTACTGTGTTCTCTCTGGGAGCCCGCGCTACAATAGTGCTGGAATCCACACTCTCCTTAATGAGACGCTAGGCAATTGCCTTCTCTGTGTAACCATGTGTCCTTAGACATCCTCTGCTTCTTTCCCTTACTCTTTAAATCTGTAGCCAGTTACATCAGGAAAAGTCAGGCCCTCACCCTTTGCCTCTTTTCCATGTGAAAGGAAAAGGATTCTGGTTGTGAATAACTGCAAAAGCTCTATCAGCTGTTTCTATGCTATCAGATGAGTAATTTTAATTCTGAAATGAACTAGACATTAAATAAATCCTACCAACTCAAAAGGCTTTTTGGAGAAATTAGGACTCCATTTCTGTTTGTTAACAATATTCTATTGCCTTTTCTACCACATTTAATTAAACATATTCTTTTTCAAATACAAGTACCTGCCATGATAAGGAACAATTTCCTTCAATTTTGTTTCTAATTAACCTGATCTATTATGGAATATCCAGTGGGATATTTTTAGTGTTTACTCATACGTTTACTCCAACTAATGTCTGAGGAAATTTAATCAGTTACTACCTTCCTTACGTATGTTCTGTCCATTCTAATGGTACTGGACTTCTGTACTTGTGGAGTGTTAGAACTTTGTCACTGTATCTCATACATGGTATGATCTATGACAACTGCCTTCTCCTAGCCAAATCAGCTTTCTACATGGATGGTATATCATCATCAGCTTAAATGTTGTGCAGTCTTTGGCATTTACATTTCTAGATAAAACAGGAAGTGTAAGATAAGGTTGAAAAGAAAGGGACAAGTTGTTTTAGAAACAACTTTGTAGGAAGAAGTTTAAGAGATTGCAATAAATGTGTCACCATGTTACCTTGATAATTTATAAATGTGAGATATTTCTCTTGTTTTGTGAACTATATAATAAAGCTGGAGGAATCCCATTCCAATAGCAGAAGTTATTTCAGCAAAGTTTGGGATACCTGCCATGTACCTGGCTCCTAGCATTTTAACTCAACCTTTTTTGGTCATGTCTATCAAGAAAGTGGGAGATTATCATCCACATATTAATTTTCTTATTTTGTTTAGGAAATGAAGTCAGCACAGCTTTTTAAAGAGTATGTACACTTTTCTGTGGTTGTTTTGTCTTTTGAATCGTGCTGAATTACCAAGTTGTCCAGGCTGGGCTCAAACTTGTGATCCTCCTGCCTCAGTCTTCCAAGCAGCTGGAATGACAGGTATGGGCCACTGCACCTGGCTACATTAAACCTTTAATCTCAATTTGAATCCAAATCTTACCTCCTCTTCATGCCTTTTCTGTACATAAATCAATTGGAAATTGTTGGGTCTATTGAATGAGCAGGCTCTTGATAAACCACATGCCATATGTTTCTGGCACATGTGAGCCCCATAAATCTGCGTGTCATCACTTTTGGAATACAGTTGTCAATTCTGGACAATTTGACGATATCAATGAATCTCCTGTTACATATAAATGATAGAGAATGTGGTGCTAATAGTGTTCAACTTAGAACGCACTTCTGTAAACTTTAATTTCCCCTCCACCATGATACATTTTACCTCTACTATCAAAGACAGCAAATGTAAAACACTGAAGAAAAGTTACGTTACCATGGCTGTTACATCTGGATGTTTCCACAAGCCTGTTGTTTTGATCATAGCATGCCATTGCTTGGTAACGATATCCTTGTCCACATTCCTTAATGTCTCCTTGTACTTTCATTCCCAGTAACACTTCCACCTTCCCCTCTGGTAAAATGCAGTCTGACCAGTTCCCCATGGGCTGTGCATTGTATTTGTCACAAGGACAATACTGAGTCTCAATCAGCGGGTACAAATGGGAATTTTTACATTTTTCCTTCTTTTTACTTTTTCCTGTAGAAAAGAAATATCAGATACTTTAAGGTTTAAAAAAAGTCATTAACTTCAAGCATCCCTAAATTTTCTACTTTCCCAAACTCACTTTCTCTGTTTTTGTTTTTGGTACCGGGGATCGAACTCCTGATCTTGTGCTTGCGAGGCAGGCGGTGGAACCACTGAGCTAAATCCCCAGCTCACTTTCTCTGTTTTTAATCATATTCAATGGTAGTCTATAAATAAATGTTATTTTTTCACTTCAAAGAGTTTTCTATAGAGATTTTTTTAGTATTAGGCCTTCAGAACTGGAGACTGAATCTAGGTCCTTCACACTGAGCTATGTTCCCAGCCCTTTGTTATATTTTATGGTGTGTCTGGGTCTCACTAACTCCTTAATTTGACCAAGTTGGGAATGAATTTGCAGTTCTTCTGCCTCAGCCTCCCAGAGTGCTGAGGGTATTTGATGTTTTACATAGTGAAGTTTTTCCTATTTTTCATTTAAAAATAGTTTATTTTGCCTAAGGGATTAACTGGAATGTTGAAATTTTAATTCTTTAAAATGACTAAAGTCCTCTGAAATAATCAAGTGTTTCTACTAACTGGGGAGTATGAGGTAACTTCTTAAACCTCTCCTTTATAACACATGCAAACATATGAGATGAAGAGAGTCCCTTCATTGAACTGCATATTGCACTTGCTAATTCAAATAGATAATGTACTCAAATACAGTAGGACTATGATTTGGAAAATGACATTTTTAGATTTACACCTCTGATTATGATATCTCAGAATTTCTGAAGAGTAATCATTTTGACATGTTTGGTGATTATTGTAGGAAATATCAATAATACATACAATGAAGATATTTATTATCAAAATAAAAAACTTGAAAAGATTCAAATCTAAATCTCTCTTAAAATAAAAAATCTCTTGGGCATGTTACATATGTGGTTGGAAAAATATTATTTTATTTAGATTGCATAAAATATAAAACATAATAAATTAATTACATGTCTTTACCTCAGATTTTCATAAGCTGCCTTTTACAACCTTCAACAACTTTCATTTTGCAGGTAGTTCATTCATAACCCTGAAATTCTGAATAGTTTATTAGCCCCAATATTTTCAGGTTTTAATTGTCACTGACAGTATTTTAGAATGGATCTATCTTTAGTTCAATATGATGGCTCCTGTGTTGCTTGTTACGTCACTGCTTCTTTGTCACTGTAACTTCTTTCTTAGATGCAGTTTTCAGATACAGAACTAATATTATATTCAAGGAGATAAAGGATATAATGCGAGCCTGTGACAGTGAGAATGAGTTAGGAAACTGAATGGGTAATGGAGTTCCTCTAAGAACTCCCCAGTTTGTAGGCAATTCACTAAAAGTACATATTCAAACTAAAAAATAATCTGTCATGTATTACATGGTCAGTTTGTATGGGGAGTCAGGCTGTTTTTTCTTTCTACTGTACTAAATTAAAATAATGCTTCAATCACTGCCAGCCTACATTAAAATACACATCCAAATCCATGGACATATTCAGTGTAAGTACAGCAATTAAAAGGCAGTTATCAAGTACATTGTCAGAACTCTCTTGATCTGACTTTTATTGTTTTTCTATCTTGACAAGAGTTCTCTTTGCATCCCAAATATTCTTACCAATGATAGTGCGCTTTCGGGTCCTAACTGCACCACAGTCTCCGTTACATGAAGAAAATTTGGACCAGCTGGTGAATTGACAGTCGTCTTGGCAGGGGATCTGGCAAGCCTGAGTGAGGGCTGGCACAGGCCCAGAGTACTGGAGGCATTCGTGGATACCAGCCTGCCCTCCGTCTTGCTTTCGACAAGTAATGGCTAAAAAGAGAAGCAAAGGTCTAATTACTCTAATTTAGAAATTAACATTTACTCAAACAGAGGAAACTTCTTTTGATTTTACTATTTATAGTTGAAATCTGGCAGGAGTGTTTTCAATAATCACAGTTGACACTGTATTGATCGTCAAGTTTTTTAAAATAACAAGTACTATAACCCCCTTTGGTTTTTGTGGTGGAGAAATGCACCTCCCCACTTGCACACACTTAGCATTTAGCAGTTTGCATTAGGTGTTATTAAACCTTTCAATTCATATCACATGTGGGGCAGATTTTGAAATGAATTTTTAAGAGACAAATCAAACATGGATTCTGATAATAGTTTATGTACAACAAAGGATATTCATAAAAATGCTGGGAGATACTAGGTACCTCTAGTATTGTTTAGAACACTGGACAATCTAGAATTTCTATATGGAAGAGTCATAGTGGTAGCAAATTGATTGGTAGGTTGACATAGAAAGGGAACATCTACAGAATTTGACTAGAAACTGTATTGGCATATGTTATTGTTAATCCTGATATGTCAACTTCATTGTATTAGAAACACCAAGATGATTTGTAGAAAAAGCTCCTGGGTGTGTCTTACTGGGTCATTGAAATGTGGCTTTGGTTCCTCACCTGATCATCTCTGACACTGTTCCCTTGTTCTCCTTGAAGGTGGCTATGAACTATGCAACTTTGCCTTACCAGATACTTCCACCATGATGTTCCTACATTGGAGTCAGCTAATTATGGACCAAATTCCTCCAAACCCTGAGCTAACATAAGCCTTTCCTCATTTAAACTGTAAGTGTTGGATATTGTGTCTAGAAATGGGAAAGCTGACTACAGTGGCATAGAAAGCTTTTTTTTTTTTCATTTTTTGTATCGCAGGCTTACTGGGATAGAACTGGAGTGATTAGTGAGTGTGGGGGGGGGACTGTCATAATCTCCATCCCCTTTCCACAAGTTCTTCACATGCACAAGCTTCAAACTGAATTTAAAAATAAAAGGGAAACTTTGAACAAGTTTAATTTATCATATCATTAACATTTCCACAACTACCTATGGACTCTAAAAATGATCAAATGATTTTAAGTCACATGTTATTTCTTCCAAGATATTGTTTCAATGAATTATTTAAAACAAGAAATAATTTTATCACTTACTTAAAACAGATATATCACTTGAAGGTAACAGGTTTTAAGGACAAACAGCAAATGGTATTACATTTCCCTTTTCCCCTTTGCCATTTCCTTTATTGGTTTTAAAAATCATTCATTTACTGAGGAAGCAGATGATACATTTAAACTTGGTTCTATAGTTCATGGGTTACCTTAAATAGCCTCATTCAGACTGATTTACATGGCTTTTCAGATTTACGGCATAGGCTGAAATGGCCCCTGATCTCAGCCTTCCTCAGTACTCCATCATCATGAAACTAAGGGAAAGAACCTACCAATTTGACACTAAATTGCAGTTAGGGCACAGAGGTCACCAGGTTAGACAATGCTGTCTGCATCTGTGCACTAAAACCTAGCAACTAGTAGTGCAGAGCTGTGTAATGAGGTATGTAAAAGGACCTGTTACTTTTAGGAAGGGAAGATGCTCTGTGTAGGTGAATACACTTGATTCAATTGCTGCAGGAAGAAGTATACAAAAGACCCTTCTTAACTGTGAAAATGCAGGTGAATAAGCTCCTATATTTTAGATGTCACTTCATTTGTATACCCAAACAGGGTAGGACTGATTTGTATGAAAAAAAACAGGAGTGCTTGGATTTTAAAGAGAATAAAGAGTTGATATTACTGTAGTGGCTTTTATGTTTCAATAAAGACAAAAATACAATGAAGAGAGTCTCACTGCTTAAGGACGTAGTTGTCAGGTGTTTATCACAAGAGCCTAAGTGAGTGGTTATCCTGTTGGGTTGTAGATTATAATCAGCTGGCTAGCTTTTGAAAAATTCCTATGCTCTTACTAAACTCAAACATTCTGATTTCATTGGTAGAGGACAGGCTCTTAGATATTAGTACCTTTTTTTTGTTAAATTCTTTTATTGGTACATTTTAAGTATACAACACAATTACATTTCTGATTGGGAATTGTACCTTTACATAATGGATCTTGGTTCTTATTTTTACCCCATTCCTACCCCTCCCTTCACCCCCTCCACCCTTCCCTATTTACAAGGACTTTATTTCCATTTTTTCCATTTCTCATAATTTTTCCTTTCCCTTCTTTCCTTTCCCCTGCCCCTCCCACTACCCCTACCCCGTTGGACCTTTTCTTCCTATTTGACATTATCGATTATTCATTCTAATCATTGCTACATTTTAGGTATACAATATAATGACATTCATCATTGGAAATTTGCACCTTTACATAGTCTCTCTTGGTTCTTATTTTTCACCCTTGCCCAGCCCTCCCTTCAACCCCTCCATTCCTCCCTATTTACAAAGATTTTGTTCCTATTTTTCCATTTTCTCATATTAATCCCATTCCCTTCTATCCTTTCCTCTATCCCTCCCACTTCCTTCCCCTTTGCCCCTTTTCTTCCTATTTCACATTACCTATTATACATTTTAGTCCTTATTTACACTTTCAGTTTCTCACACCAGAGAAACTATTCGGTATTTACACGTGTGTCCTATTTATTTCACTTAAGAGTATTGCCTTAATGTGCATCCACTTAGCTATAAATGTCTCTAATTTCTCATTTTTTATGGCTGAGTAGTACTCCATTTTATAAAAAAATCACATTTTCTTTATCCAGTCTCCAGTTGATGGGCATTTGGGCTATTTCCAAGTTTTAGCTATCACACACTGTGCTGCTATGAACATGGGTGCACATATATCACTGTGGTATGATTCTTTTAATTTTTGGGGGAAGATCCCCAGCAGTGGAATAGTGGGGTCAAATGGGACCCTCAGACAAAGGTCTACTATCTCGAATCTATAAAGAACTTAAAAAGATCAGACCTCCCAAATTTAAAGACCCAATCCAAAAATGGGCATCTGAAATGAACAGACATTTCTCAAAGAAGTAGAAATAGCAAATAAATACATGAAAAAATGTTCATCATCACTGGTCATTTGAGAGATGCAAATGAAAACAATGCTGAGATTCCACCTCACTCCAGAAAGAATGGCTGCTATCATGAAATCAACCAATAACTATGCTGGTGGGGCTGTGGGGAAAGAGGAACCCTGCTCCACTGCTGGTGGGAGTGTAGACTGGTGCAACCACTGTGGAAATCAGTATGGAGATACCTATTAGTACCTTTTTAAAGCTCTCTGACAACTCAAATGTGCAGGCCGGTTAAGAACTACTCCTCTTGTAGGTAATGTATTTTCACATGCATCAGGAACACTTGGAATTCTGGCTGAGACTTGAGGTGAGGATTCAAGGTTCTTTGGTACCCAGTCACCCTTGCACTACTCTAAGCTTTGGGAAACAGTGGCAAACAGGTATACAGTATGGGAAGCTCTAGCTTACATTCAAGGGGAGAGCTTTATGGGGATTGAACAGAGACTCCATCAAAAAGAGCATCTGTCTATTTTTAAGGGGTGCCATTCATAGCATATTGTGGAAGGAATCCTCATGATTCTGCTTAATAATAAACTGATGTGACTTTGAAGTTCTTTCTATACCTGCCATTTGGAAACGGGACTGAACATTTTAAACTTAATGAGTTTCCATGTTTTTTGGGCAAAGTTGCCCCAAGGATGCTCAAAACGAAGGGTTGAGAAAGAAGAAGATATTAGACATTTTACTAGTCAGGTTATGTGGAGCCTACAAAAATGATTAATTTGGAAAATAAGATATTTGACTATATTAGAATCCTAAAATGTGAAGAAGCTTGAATTGTTCATAATTTAAAATTAAAAATTACAATTCTGTACTTAGGTTCTTTAAAATGAAACTTCTATCTACTTATGTGATTTAGCTCACTGAAACACAAACTAAAATATAAATCTTTTGAAAAATTAAATGAAGTTGCCTCAGGTTCTTCATTGAAGGTCTCTTTTGCAAATATTAATTCAGAATTGCTCCAACTGTGATCATATGGACACCACACACACACAAAAGAAATATCACTACCACCAACACCAATACGATCCCAGAAACAAATTAATTTACTTTTATGGACTCATAATACTCACATAAATCAAAAGCCTCACTCTCCATATCCTGTACTACATAAAATCATAAGTACTTCAGCTTGTTGAGGAGAAAAAAATATGTAAAATTTCCATGTCTGTTCTCAGCAACCCACTCAGCACTGAGCACCCTTATCTGAGACTTTCCACAGTGTGGTTTTGGAATGAATTACTCACACAATGTTAACCAAACAAGTAACAAGAGCATCATTTGTACAATATATTGAAAATTTATCATACATCTCAACTTGTTTGTATTCTAACTTAGAGGAAACATAACAATTCAAACACAGAAATGCAATCTGAAATGAACTTCCTGCTCTTGGGTGAGGAACATATAAATGTTTGGAAAGGAAGCCATCCAGTCTCTTAACTTTATAAATCTTAAAAGTCATTTTTAAGACATTGAAAACAGGGTGGTTTTAACTGTGGAAAAGATGGATCCTAGTAAACCTTGTTTCCTAGCACATCCAAGGTTACACACACTCAGAAAATTTTATCTGTATTACCAGGTGGAACACGTATTTCATTTATAATTTTATTTTATGTATATAAGGTACAGCAATTTTTATTTAGGTGTGATAGGACAAGCTGGTCCCAGCAAGCTAAATGCATGGGAGACATCAATGTAACTAACTTGTGGGTTACATAGGAATCAGGCAAGGTTAGCCTATCAATATTTATGAGACATAAAGATAAACAAGAAAGCCTGTATTTTTCAGCAAATATATGAGATCAAAGATGATTAAAAAAATACACTAACAAAATGCAATTTGGAGATCTCTTGGGACCCTAATTTGAATAAACTGTATGTAGACATTATTCAGACAATGAGGAAAA